TCGATCGGGGTAGGAACACATTCTCACAGAAAACCAGCGTAAAGTATCAGGTTAATGCTGCTGTGTTTCGTATCGTGAGTGTAGAGAACCGGAGACTCTTTTACTTGAAACGATGCATTCCATTTTAGGCCTCAGGGTTGCAATCAAAATGCAGATACAATTTGTTTCTTAGTAGAGGATAAAGTGTGCTCGTTTTCCATCCTTATTCTATAACAAAAAAATATGTTTTTGTGTGCGTGTACCTTTTGTTAATTTTTAGGCGACTTTAAAAACAAAGCATATTATCAATTCGACTGTATGTTCTTGCTTTTTTTATGGTTTTTACTCGATATCTCTATAATTTGTAAGCTAATTTTAATGATTCTTTATTTTATTTAACAGGTTATAATTTATATAGATTTGGGGACATTCTGATTATTACCTTTAGATTTTGAATTACATAGTGCAATCAAATAGTCAAAAGGATCAAACATTAAAGTTTTAATAAGAAGTAAATATGACTGAAAAAGAATAACATAATATTCACGTAACTGTTTCTGTTATAATTCTTCTATATAATGTAGATTATTTATTCTATTTATTTCTTTGAAGTAGGCTTTTAGTTTTTATTGAAAGTTTAATTTTTAATAGGAAATAACAGATATAGTAAGTGCTTCACTTATCGCCGTATAGTGGTAAACAAAATAACACAAAATTTTTAATTTTAAGTTATATACACTAGAAAATATAAATTTTAACCAAAAATACACGCGTCATAACAGTAAACACGTCTTGAGAATTTACCGGTGAAATGTGCAACCATTATTTCTATTATTAACTACAGTCACTCGCGGAACATGTAACCATTTTGGAAACCATTGAGTTACAAATATTAAAACTATTGTAATCTAAAAAATTACAAAATATCTACGAGCTTATTTCTTACGTGGTGACTTGCGCCGACCTCTTATTGAAAATCGGTTACAGAGTCCTGAGATTTGGTATCCTTTTTTATCTTGCATTTTCACCACAATACAAGGGAATTCACATATTATTCCGTAGGTGTTGTAAGGGGCGACAGAGAGATATTAAACACGGAAAGGGCAGAAGCATCTTTCTGATAACAAATCAAAATAACATTTTTCTGCAATTGTCAACCCACCTGCCATGGCATCTATGGCAAATTGATATTTGCCTTATAAGGCAATCTATGGGAAGATTGTTCAGCAGTGGCTTTTTGATACGCTGAGCTGTAACTTACTTTATAGTGAAACGATAAATAAAATATATTGTTATTCAAATGTACCGTGTATGCTAGGTGTAAGGATATCCATATATTATATATCCATATGGGGTAGCCATATCATCCCGTGGGTGTCGTAAGAGGCAACAGAGGGAAAAATTAGAAGACAGGCAGCAGCGCCTTCTTAATAACGACTAAAAATAAAAAAAAAACAGTACACAGACAGCTATCCAGATATGAGGAAATTTATGGGGAAACGTGAGAAAGTACAAAAAATTTTGTGTGAAATTTGATAACACATTTCCAATAAGCTGTTATCTACTTAACACTTTTTAAGCTGTGATAAAATAAAGGATTGTGAGAAAGGTTGTCTAATCAGTGTAAGCACTGTCCTTCGAACCTGGTGACTCATGAAAATATTGCCCAAGGAGAGGTAAACATTACGTCTAAACAATTGTGATTCCGAGAAATGTTATTAGAAAAACGGATAAGCCGTCTTTACATGAAAGGTAAGCGTAATACCGGACGCGATTACTGATGGTGGTCTCGACGAAATACCTCAAACAAAAGCCTTATCGTCTTTTTTGATGCCTAAGGAATTGTTTATATTATTATTCAACTTATTTTGTTGAAGTTAATTGCTTGCATGCATAGGTGTAATTGTTTTATCAATTTTTTTAAGCATAAGCACTTATATTATACGCTAGGCCTTTTGCTATTTCGAATGTTCGGTATATTGGTCAAAATATCTTGCTATTACCTTACATGGTTTCCTAGCAGTAGCTTACATTTTTGGGCTCAAAGTCCATCTGATGGTAATTGGATACTGTGGCCCATAGACACCTTCATTTATCCTCGATTTTGAATCAAAATGTGCGTCACGTGTTGGCGTTGTCGACCCTGAGAACTATGACAGAATGCCTCGTTACCTTTTAGAAGGGTCTACGGTTGTCTACACTTACCATAGGAAACAGGTCAGCATTAAGCTACTGTTTTACGCCGGTATTCTGTGAGATCATTCGATCGATCGATTTTCGTGTACCTTTTCGAAGAGACGGAATTAGTTTTGTTAATTTAAACCATTCATATCATTGCAAAAAATATGTGAAAAGCGATCACCAATCCGCTAACTAATCGATGCAGTTAATTCCTCCATACAACGCAAGAGGCACAACATATTCGGAAGTGAAGTAAATTTATGAACAAATACGAGGGAATTTGTTCAGTTGGGTGGGCATACAAGCCTCGCAAGGGCTTATGTCAGACTCGCATCGGCTAAAAGCCTGTGCTGTTCCAGCTTCGCAGCGTATCAGTAGTGTAACGTAAACGCTTTCACACATAATATTCGTGAAGCCATCAATACTAGTCGCTACCCTTCTCCCTATTTTTCCTACAGCAAGGCGCCCCGGAACGCAAGTTACGCCTAATTACGCTATCGCCATAATTCCCACTTCTTGTGGAAATGAAGAATTGAAAAGAAGATTAGTCTATGTGATTTTACTCTGTATGGTTTTATGCAGTCTAAGTGTTCATCTGGTTTGGTGTTGTACTCTTAGTCAAGAGCTGTTGTCTTTTACCACCAGGTGGTCAGTCACAAGTTTAATTTAAAACCATAAACATTTATTAGAGTTTCATCCAAAATGCTTACTCTAATGCGGAAATAATAATCGAAAGCTTAAAATATAATAAAGAATAAGGAAACAGGCAAAACACGCAGTCGCTGAAATAATAGAATCCCCACGACGCGGCACGTCACAAACATGACTTTTCCATTTTTCACCCGCTGGGTACCGTCACAGATTTCGATTGTTAGCATTAGGAAATTTTCACATAGCAAGCACATTACACTACAAATAATCTAAAAATAATAAACAATAACAGTTTTCTATACTGGAACTAATTTATTTATTATATTTTGTTCCCTTAAACACTATCACAACTAATATCATATATTATACCAGATCTATGTGAACTTTGACAATATAACCGGTAAAATGGTATAATTTACCTTTTTGATAAAGCTTTTTCGATGATTACCAAAAGGAAATTTATTACTTTAAAAAATTATTCGTCTCCCCTTCTATAGGATAAATACTATATTGATTTCACTTTTATTTAATTTAAAATTAATGTGAGTATGCTAAATTAAAAACATTATTGTTATTTAATGCCTGTAGCTCAGGTGCTTAGCGAACAGCCTCGGTTCGATCCACGCCGACACTAATGAAATTGGTAATTGCAATTTTAAGTGCTGATTTACCACGTACTCGGCGGTGAAGGGAAACATCGTGAGGCAACCTGCATGTCTGAGAAATTGGAAAAGAAAGATATTTCAAAGACATGTGAAGTTCACCAAAACGCATTGGGGCAGCGCGGTGGACATATCCTTGCCTTAAAACCCTCTCAGAAATGAGAGGAGGCCTGTAGGTACCCAGCAGTGGGACTTTTATGTGCTTTAACTTTAATTTTTGCCTTTCTTAGCAAACATATCTAAAAATTAATAAATAATAAAGAATTGATTCAGCAAAAAGAATGTACAAGTCAAAACAAATCTTTAGATGACAATGAAACATTTTGAGCGAAATTTTGAAATTTTATTTCGCAGGAAAGTTAGACGTTAAGCACGGTGTCAGTTAAATTCGAGAGTGCTTTTATGAGCGTATAGAAGTGATTTATGTAAATGGGTCGTTCGCTCTGAAGGAATCTGTGGAAATCCCTTAATATAAGTATACTACGTACCTTCGCAATTCTGTAATAAAGTTACGCCTATCGTCTTACGATGGGAGTAACAGACACCATAAATGTCTAATTAAATATTAAACGAGAAGGTTCGTTGCTATATTAATATTTCTAGTAGCTTTTTTACCTTTTTTTAAACCCCATTTTCAGGCGTTGCACATTTAGGCAAAAATATTTTATTGTTTAATTGATAATATATTTATTGATATATAAGTTAGTTGTTCAGTATTTTGTATATATTTGACATTTTAGTGTGCGCCATCTATGGTACAAAAGATGAAAAGAAAACTGATTCGACTGTTGCGCTATCAAAGAAACATGGTTTTAAAGCAGAAATCAAGACAACATGAATATCGTAATTATAATTTTGTTACGGCTAATAAAGTACACCATACTGTTAATGACAAAACAACAAAATTGCGATTCATTTTAAACTTATTTGGACTATTTAAATATTAATATCATTGTTTTCGATAGTTAGTACAATTTCATTATTAATTTTCATGTGATATTTTCATTATATATTAAATATGTTTGTAAATATAATTTGCGTTTCAAAGACTTATATACGTAACGATACTTTAAGAGTAGTTTGCTATTCCTCACTAGATGGGTCTGATTGCTTAGTTCAAAGACGTCGCGTCGCAGAGCTTATGCGGGGTGCGGGTGGAGCGGGGGCTAAGTTGCGCGTCCTATTGCCACTTTCATGAGTCCAGCGCTAAGCTTGACAGTCGCAACGTAACCGAGGCGCGGATAGGCCGCGTCACATTCCGCGCCTGTATTTACCTCACGCAATTAAAATTTAATAAATAGAAAGTCATATCAAGTGTTGTTTACAGTAATAATATGTTATTTCTTGAATCAAAATATTGAGTTAAAGGACTTTTTCGCGCTTTTTAAGTGGGACTAGTGAAGTGAAATGCCAGGAAGTTTTTCTTCGGCACTTAAGCGCGCTACGTACTTTGTTTCGGAAATGGTGATATCGACCCACAGGGAGTGTTTATGAGACGTTTAAAAGTGATATGAAAAATCTGTGATAATGTATGCCATAGCGACCGTGCTTTGGGCGCTGCTGCACGCCGGATGGACTGTTTCACCCTACGGCTCCGACAAGTGTGTTCGAGTTTCTGGAAGTAACGTACTGTGCAAAATACGCACATTGGATGGCGATGGGAGTAGTATTTCTTCAGTAAATTCTGACACAAGTGTATTATCCGTAGAATGTAATCAACTGCTTCTTTTCGAAAGTACGCTCAGAGCACATTATTTTAGTTCTGTTGAGTTTCTTAGTGAATTGTCAATAACTAATTGCAAGTTGCTTCATATACCAGACCATACGTTTCAAGACATTAGTAAATTAAAAAAGCTAAAAATTCGTTCAAAGAATTCTGAATGGAGCCCTACCAAGAACATGGAGATGTCTTTGAACGCATTCAGTGGATTATCGGAATTGCAGTCGTTAGATCTTGCTCAAAATAACATCAAGTTTGTTCCTTCCGGTGTTCTCTGTCCGCTGGAGAATCTAAATATATTAAATCTAACTAATAATAGAATAAGAACAGTTGGTCAAATCGGTTTTGGTCAAGGATGTGGCTCAGGTCTAAATACTCTGGATTTAAGTCACAATGAAATTAAGATATTGCCGGAAGAATCGGAATTGCTTAAATTAAGGAGCCTGCAGCATTTATATTTACAGCATAATAACATCAGTGACATATCGAGTGAAGCTTTTAATGGACTAACCTCTTTAAGAGTATTAAACATATCACACAACCGTTTACATACATTGCCAGAAGGACTTTTTTCTAATGCTAAAGAATTAAGGGAAATATATCTTAACGAAAACTCTATATTTGAGTTAGCAAGAGGATTATTCCATCACTTAGAACAATTGATTGTTTTGGATTTATCGAGTAATCAACTTACTAGTAATCATATCGACGATGGTACGTTCAAAGGACTAATTCGATTAATAGTTTTAAATTTATCAAACAACGCCCTAACAAGGATAGACGGAAAAACGTTTAAAGATTTATTCTTTTTACAAATTTTGAATCTTAAGAACAATTCTATTGGATATATTGAAGAAAATGCTTTTTTGCCGTTATATAATCTTCACACGCTCAATTTGGCAGAAAATAGACTTCACACCATCGACGAAAATTTATTTAATGGCTTATTTGTGTTAAGTAAATTGACCCTTAATAACAATTTACTCATTAATATTGACCGGAAAGCTTTTAAAAACTGCTCCGACTTGAAGGAACTGGATTTGAGCTCTAATCAACTAATGGAGATACCCGACGCGTTATGGGAACTTCCTTTCTTAAAGACGCTCGATCTCGGCGAAAATCAAATATCCGACTTTAGGAATGGCTCGTTTAAAAATTTAAACCAATTAACGGGATTAAGATTGATTGACAATCAGATCGGAAACCTCAGTGTTGGCATGTTTTGGGATTTGCCGAGCTTACAAGTATTAAATATTGCAAAAAACAAAATTCAATCTATAGAAAGAGGTACATTTAGCCGAAACAGTCAACTAGAAGCTATAAGATTGGACGGAAACTTCTTGTCGGACATTAACGGCGTCTTTTCAACGCTTGCTAGCCTTCTTTGGCTTAACCTATCAGAAAATCATCTAGTGTGGTTTGATTATGCGTTTGTTCCCAGTAATTTAAAGTGGTTAGACGTTCATGGAAATTTTATTGAACACTTAGCTAATTATTACAAGTTGCAAGATGAAATACATATAAAGACTCTAGATGTTAGCCATAATCGTATAGTAGATATAGGGCCTATGGCTATTCCTAATAGTGTAGAATTGTTGTTTATCAATAATAACTATTTAAACAATATTTATGTAAATACATTTTTTGACAAAAAGAACTTAACACGTGTAGATATGTATGCAAATGAAATTGTTAATTTAGAATTGAATAGTCTGCGCTTATCGCCAGTGCCAGGAAACAAATCTTTGCCTGAGTTTTATATCGGCGGCAACCCCTTTCAATGTGATTGTACAATGGAGTGGTTACCGATAATTAACAATATGACTGCTCTGAGACAATATCCGCGAGTGATGGACTTAGAAAATGTTTTGTGCAAAATGACAAATACTCGTAGTGGAACACATGTGCCCTTAACTAACCTTAAAACAACAGACTTCTTATGTGAGTATGAGACTCATTGTTTTGCCATATGTCATTGCTGTGACTATGATGCGTGTGACTGTGAAATGACATGTCCTCACAACTGTACATGCTATCACGATCCGTTATGGAACACTAACGTTGTTGACTGTTCTGGACAATTGTCAATAGAAATACCAAGTAAAATACCAATGGACGCCACTGAGGTATTTTTAGATGGCAATAACATAAAAGAACTACAAAATCATGTGTTTATTGGACGACAAAAAATGAGGTCCTTATATGTTAATAACAGTAACGTTGATAATATTCAAAATAGAACATTTGCTGGACTAAATGCCTTAGAAATACTTCATCTTGGTAATAATAAGTTGAAACAATTGAAAGGCCACGAGTTTCATCAACTTATCAATTTAAAGGAGCTATTTTTACAAAACAATCTAATAAGTCATATCGCCAACATATCTTTTATATCTTTGAGATCTTTAGAAGTTTTACGGCTTGAAGGCAATCGTCTAGTAGATTTTGGTGTGTGGAGCTTTAATAATAATCCTAACTTAAAAGCCCTGTCCCTTGGAAATAATTTATGGTCATGCAAATGTCGATATCTCCAAGAACTTACTGCATATTTAGCTGAAAACGCTCAAAAAATCGTTGACATAACTGATGTGTGGTGTTGGAATGGAGATGCAAAGCCGCCGCAGAAAAAAGAGCTTAATTTAAACGGCACTGCCTGCAGTGATTATTATGCAGATAATTCTGTTATCGGAAATATGTTGGTGTCGAACTACGTTCCCATGATGGTATCGACACTTACAGGCTTTATGTTAATTTTATTGGCCCTTGTCGTACTGTTCCTTTTTAGAGATTCTCTCAGAGTATGGCTGTATACGAATTGCGGTATACGTGTTTTTTCATTTGCGGGAACTTTTGAGGAAAATGAGAAGTTATACGATGCCTATGTGTGTTATAGCCCGAAAGACGAAGAGTTTGTGGTACAATCCTTAGCAAATGAGTTAGAAAACGGACATCCATCTTACCATCTCTGCTTACATTATAGAGATATAATTAAAAATCACAGCGATCGAGATATTGTTCAACATCATGCTGAAGGGAACCAACAGTATATTCAATGTGCCCCACCAGTTGTTGAAGCAGCAGAGGCATCGAAAAGAATAATACTCGTATTAACAAGGAATTTCATGCAAACAGAATGGTCGCGATACGAATTCCGACAAGGGCTACATGAAGCGCTTAAAGGGTGCATATATAAATTAGTACTAATAGAAGAATGTTCTGTAGTCGCGGACGCAATGCACGACCCGGATTTACGACCCTACCTTAAAACGGGGTCCCGGCTACAATGGGGTCAGAAAAGATTCTGGGAAAGGCTCAGATATATGATGCCAGATTCATCCCACCACACTCATAGGACGCGAAGGCAAAACTATAGAAAAAATATTAACACTTATACGTTAGATTCTTCTGTTCCTAACGGTAATCGTACTTTGTCATATCCTGACAAATCACCAGTGTTAGGGGTTGCTGGACAAGGTGCTAGCGCTCCACCTGAGTATAGTACAGAGATACGGCAGTCTCCATCAGCTATACGACAGACTCAGGCTGTAGCGTATGGCCCTGATGGCAGACCAATATCAGATCATATCTATTCATCGATAGACTCAGATTATTCCTCGTTAGAGCATGGTATGACACCGGGGAGGCGGCGAGACCTTCGACAATGGCCGCCTCCACCACCTCTTGTTGATACAGGCAATGCCGTGCAAGCTTACCTAGTCTAGACGGGCATCTCAGCTCACTTCCAGTCATAATTTTGTAAATATGTAGATGTTTATATTAGCTCGCTGTAAATATTGTAATTATTATTTTTAAGTGCTATACCAAAATTTAACTAAGAGAAATTATTATTGCCTGTTCGTTATCCTGTGTATGTATAGATTTCATATTAAAATTTTAAAGACTGCTGTAGCATATGAATATTGTAAATAGCAAGGACAAGTGATTGTATTAAATTAATATCTGTATTATGCCGTTATTTATACACTACAAAAATAAAGTGATGAAGATTTTTAACAAAGTTTTTTTATTGTGTTCACTAATCCATTGATAGAAAAATATTGTAATAGAAATGAAAATTAGAATTAACTTGAATTCAAGATTAAAAAAAAATTACAAAATAGCTGCTTTTTCATATTTTCATAATAAAAGTTAAAAAAAAATTAGTTACAGCCTAATACGTACTACTGTTGGACACAATCTCGTTATTGAGAGAAGAGGGAGAGGTATTTTCTTCATAAAGTCGTAAAATGTTACATATTATTGAACAACTAAAATTGTAACAGCATTTAACACATTAAACTTAATGAACTCACTTAACATAAACATTTCAATTGTTATTAATCATACTTGTTTTGACGAAATGTGTTGACTTCTTATACTAACGAACTTTAAATAACATTATACATATTTTTTTAAGACAAGATTAATTTTTATAAAACTAGAATATTTTCGAGATTAAAGGAAAGTTACATTATACATTTTTTAATGTCTCAGATATGCAGGTTTCCTCACGATGTTTTCCTTCCAAGCCGAGCACGTAGTAAATCAGCACTTAAATTGCAATTAACAATTTCATTGGTGCCGGTGGGAATCAAACACGGGGTTGCTCGAAGTTTACACCATTATTTTTAGCGCCTGGGCCACCCGGAAACGTGATAATTAAGGCGAAAATGATTAAAATAAAATTTAAATCTAGTAAAACGCATTATTATATAGCTATAAAAAGTTACCCGTTACTTACCGAAAAACGTTTATACTTCAAAATAAAATCAATAAAACTAGTGTAAAGCTACTACAAAACTTTCGATCGATTATTTTTGTTCAAATTTAAATTATTTTATAATAGTAAGTTGAGTACTTTTCTTGCCAAATCAAATTCATTGCATAAGAGAAAAAGAGTCATTATATATTTTTACTTTAGATAGTTAACCATATTTTGGGTAGGAGCTGGTCAAATATTTTATTCACCCATCTTTTAACTAAACTTTCTATTTTTAGCAAAAACTAAAGTTACACAACTTTTATATTATTATATTATTTAAGTCTTTTTTTAGTAATTAGGATATATTATCATTGTACGAACCCACGCAATACTCGAAGAGAAAAAAAAAAATAAAAAAAATACCTGTATTTGAGTTTCTATTGTTATGTTAAGTTTAACACGAGAACCGCGGCTAGGCAGATAACAATATTGTGGAAGCAAGCGCTGCATTTGTATAACACTAAAAACTTGACCTGATTTAAAATTGCAACTACAACTATACGTCAAATAATACCATATATTATTTATTTTTAATAATAGAGAAAAATAAATATCAGTATTCAGGAGACTAGTAGTGGCAGTAACTAAGAAATCAACGGAATACCCCTTTTTATTTTAAACATCAAATTAAAATAGGTTGTTGAGTTAAAAGTTCTATGTTTTCACTTTTTATCTGTTAGAAGCCAAACACATTTATTACAATCATATTATGTGTATTGCAATCCCACCTAATCGTAAGTGATGATGAAGCCCTATTTATCATTTAGGGCTTCATCATCACTTACGATCTGGTGATTTATTGCAACCAAAGTCTAATTAATCTTATTTTGAAAACATACAGAAATGAAAATAAGTATTTCCGACACTTATAAATATGGTCCTAAAAACAAATTACACTTGATTAAAAGCAATCACTTTATTTCTCTTCTCTAAGTTGGTGACTTCAATTTGTTGTAATTTACCATAATCGGAAATTCACTTTGGCTTTTGTCCAACACTCGGGACATCTTCCTGCTTTATAGAGAAACTGTTCAGAATTCATCAGTAATACGAATGAGTCACAGCAGCGATTATTATGTGGACAGGACTGTTATAACTCTTCCTGTAGTTAGAATGTCTTATTATTTTGTTACCGCAATAGTGACTCTATTTCTACAGGTTCGATACTATGTTCACAGACAATTATACAAGGCCTTCATTTTATCTATGAGTACAATAGCTTTAAAACATAGCAAAATATTTTGTTAATAATTTAACTGTTTTTAAATTATATTTTCATTTTATATAAATTTGATAAAGTTGTTAAATGTATTTTATACAGTTACAAATTATAACATACAATGAACTTGATCCAAAGTAACAAAGACTAAAAATCGTTGGTGCGTTTAAATAAAAGAAATATATTCACTTATTAAAATACTCATTTTACTTTTAATTTATTTTAATAGATTAATTTTATTATAGTAATAGCGAACCACCTCGGCTACACCTAGAAAGGTAACTATCTATGACCATTTACTTTATTCTTTATATCTATTTCTCAAATCGATAAATAAATTGTTTAGTGCGCACGAAAAATTTAACATTGATTTTTTAAAACTAAATTCAAAGAACTGAGAAATAACTTCCACAAAATTTAATAGTCCTAGCATCTATGTCAGAGAAGCTAATTCATTACGTTGAAATCGGTTTTTATTTTTTCCAATTCTAAATTTTTCTATAAAAAATATAACCTCTACTTATATTTTTAAAATATAAACTTTCAATAATACCTTTTAAATAGAAAAATTTAAAGAGAGGCCATGTCAAGCCGTTAAAAGCCAAGATTCCCGTGTAGTGTAAACATAAAAATATTCAATATGTGAGCTTTTTTCACTTTGTCCGTCCACCGGACGCGATATCCGCCACCGTGCGTGATCGGAGTAACCTCTCAGAAGCCCAGCGGCTTAATACAAACTCGCTGCTGCCTCTGAATACTTAATTCTATATTAGCTCATAAAGATTGTGTTTTGACTAACAATGAAAGCGTTATGATAAGGAGTTAGGCCACAGAAGCGCCTGTTTATCCTTTCGTTTGACAGTTGTGTTCCGGTTACTAGGTATAAAAATAGACATCATCTTTAAATATTCTCTTATATAAATGTGCAGTTCGCAGAATTGCGAAATATTTAATCCTTTAGCAAAATTATTAGTGAGTATTGTTGATCAGATGATAAAAATAAGCTAACTTATAAGTTAAAAAAGTTCTTAACAACTTTCGTGGGAATATTTGACGGATCGTAAAAGGAATATTTTAATCATATTTGTATTTAATAATTAGCATGAATAACGTGACATTTTACAAACCATTATGTGTGTAACTACTTTCAAAAGCCCCATGTGACACGTCCGTCTTTATATGATCTATAAATTATTTGGGAACGTTCACAACGTAGTTTAATTAAAGTTAAAAACGTGATTATTATTCTTAAAAATTATATGTAAAATGTTGTACTTTTTTGTGCAATGCAGTCAAATAAATATTCACTTACACTTGAACCGAATAAAGTAAATCGTTTTAAAATGTTCGTTACTACATCTAATAATATATTTAATTATTTAATATATATTATTGTTATTGAATAACTGGTAAAAAAGAAAATATTTAGTGAACATGACTTAGTGCTAAAACGGTTTTGCTGGCTCTATGATTGTTAAATCAACATTGTTAATAACGATTTAGAGTTATTATTTAGTAATTGGGCTCATTTAAATTAATAAATCTGGCGAAAGTTTTTTAAATTAATTTTCTTGTATCAAAATCATTTTGTTGTATTAAAATGTAAAGCCGCATCTCCACCACAGTCTTGTTGCCAACACAACAGTTGCCAACACGTGTTGCCAACAAATGTTTCTGTCAACAAGCGTCTCCACCGAGATAACAAATGTTGGCAACAAGCGAATTCCTTTGATGTTGAAGTTTTGTTGGCAACTGTTGTGTTGACAACAAAACTTTGGTGGAGACGCGGCTTTAAAGAAAACAACCAAACTAAAATTACAATAAAAACCTTCATATTTGCAACTAAATTTAATATTCAAAAGCGACAAACAGTTCATCTATTGATAAGAGGACATTGTAAACAAAGAGGTCAGAGATGCGTTCTCACTCCAGAAAACTTAAATGAAATGCCTCGAAACTTGTAGTTATATTGAATAGTAGGCTTTTCTTGAATATAATTTATTAACACTTTCACTGTCCGGTTTCCAGACACAATAGTAAGACAATAGCAGTGCCCTATATGTAGTGCACGGGACAGCGAAAGGGTTAATGTAGCGTTATTAAGATTTAAGTAAAACAAAGACGAACTTTTTGTTTATAGAAAAAAAATTGTATAAAGTATAGCATTGCTCTCTATCTGTTCGTAAAGTTTCAACAAAAATATTCCGAAGATTAGCCTGGATAGACAGACAGACATACCAGGCAGTTATTTCAGAATTACAGTCATACAATTCAATTTTATTTTTATTGGTATAAATTAAAACATTAAGACTATTCACATCAAACGCACGTGGCAAATTATTCGACCATAAGATTGGTCTCACACAATTACTATTGGTGAGTGCTTTCACTTCGCGGTTGCTAAAATTTAAAAACATATATTATTGCATTACTAATCTGTTATGGTCTAACAGAAACACAGTTGCGGCTTTAATCGGTTGCTTTCACTTTAAACGAAATTACTCCAGTTGTACACTTTCCTAAAACGAACACACAAGTAACATTTGTATTTATGACTAGCTGTTCCTCGCGACTTCGCCCGCGTGTAGTTTAGGGTTTTAGTTGTGTTGCGCGGAACCCTAACTCTTTTTCTAAAATATAAGTAGCCTCAGTTACTCCTTATAACATCAGCTATCTGTCAGTGAAAGTCCCGTCGAAATCGGTGCAGCCGTTTCTGAGATTAGCCGGAACAAACAGTCAGA